TTGTGTGTGATTTTTGACTGCAGTCATTTAAGTCACAACACTCCCGCAGGAGGCCCCTCATCCAGGATTCATTCAGTATCATCCTTTTCTTTAACCAGAAATATAAAATACATATTTTGTCATTTTCATTTCCCACAAACCTTTCAGTGTTTCTTCAGCGTGGATGCTGGTCATCCCTTCATTTGCAGCCCTGATAAATCCTGCTCGGATTAAAGCAGCTGACTGGAGTTCATCCAGGCTTTCAGTGAACTTCTCGTGCACACAGACGATGTAAAGTGAACTAAAACAACCCCATCATGTCACCACCCAGGCAGCTTCATCCCTCTCATGTGTATGGAATAAGTACCTTCCTCTCATGTCTGATATTGTGTCTCTTGTTGCTCTTTCCCTGAATAAACCAGGAAGTGGATGTTGTTTAATTGGTGTATTGCTCCTTTATATCAGTAGAGCTGTCAATCATGAAATAAGCTCAAACTGAGAGCTGTTTGCGCTCTACTGAGTTTATTCCCATAAAGTTTGCTGTTGAAGATTCAGTTCTCCTCGTTCCTGCTACTTTGCCTTAAAATCTCTTGATGTCCACAGAGATAAATAGAGATAAAGTTTCTGTTGGAGTTAGAAACTCTCAACAGCTTTTATCCACAGACCGCACCTTAATTGGTAATTCATCTTTCCAGTAAAAAACAATAAATTCAACTATTTCCCCTCGAGGGTGCATCATTAAAAGCCTGAGAACTGGACTCTTAAGAACATTACGAACTTTTAAAACATTCTGGTTGCGCCGTGATTTCAAACCAGACATAATCTGTAGAAATACACATGAATTACACTCATGCAGTTCCTGCTAAAGTGCTTGACGACATTTGTCTTTTGAGCGAGCTCAGCAGGGTAGAGGTCAGATTTGGTGGGACTATTTTTAAACTGGGAGCCCGATCAGTGAAATGAAACCAGACACTGGGAAGCGTTGGAGTTTGAGCATGGAGTACCAGCGTGGTCTGCTTGTGTCGTCCAGCTCCCTTTTGATTTTCTACGTATAATTTCATTTCAGCAGCATAGAATAGCCACATGGGCACCATAAATGATGGCCAACGCCTCCTCAGCATGAACAGCTGAACTGAGATCTGCTGAGACTTTCTACACAGTTTGGAGAAGTGCAGACAAAATATACAGCAGACAGACAACAGATCTGACAGACTGTCCCTGCCATGCTGGTGAGGATCTCAAGCAATACTTTCTTTCATAAAAGTGCTTTAATTCAAGATGGCTGACACAGCAACATCTTCAATTCCATCCAGTTCATTTAAACAGCACCAAGTCACAACAGAATAAATCTCAGGGCACTGAACAGAAACATGTATAAAATAATAATTTAACATTATTTATCTGAGGAGCAGACTGCTTTGAGTTTAACTCCATCACAGAATTCTCATCTTGAACAAGCATGAAGGCGACAGTGGAAAGAAAAACTCCCTCATGAGGAAGAAACCTTTAACAGAACCAGGCTCAGGACAAGTGGTCAACTGCTTCGACCGGCTGGGTTTGAGAGGAACAGATACACAATGGCAGGTTGAGAATCACATGTTAAGATAGAAATAATATCAAATGAAAACTATTCAATTTTAACAATTATTTTAAGGAAATTGGGTCAATTTGTCCTCTAGCAGCATAACAAGCCGACCCCAACTATAGGATTTATCAAAAAGGAAAGTCTTAATCCCAGTCTTAAAACTGGACAATGTGTCAGCCTCACGGACAGAAACTGGAAGTTGGTTCCACAAGAGAGGAGCCTGATAACTGAAAGATCTTCCTCCCATTCTGCTCTTGGAAACTCTAGGAACCATAAGTAAACCTGCAGTCTGAGAGCAAAGTGCTCTGTTAGGAAAATATGGAACAATAAGTATCCTGATGCATGCTCAATAATCCAATATGGAACAATAATCAATATGGAACAATAAGATCTGTAATATAAGATGGAGCTAGGTTGTTGAGAGTTTTGTAGGTTAGAAGTAAGATTTCAAATTCAATTCTGGACTTGACAGGGAGCCAACGGAGAGAAACTAAAACTGGAGAAATATGATCTCTCCTTCTAACTCCAGTTAAGACTCTGGCAGCAGCATTTTGGATCAATTGAAGACGTTTTAAAGACGTATTTGAACCAGTTTTTCGGCATCATTTTTAGAAGTTTCTAATTTTAGCGATATTATGCAGGTGGAAGAAGGCAGTTCTAGTAGTGTTTTTAATGTGGGGAATAAAAGACATGATGTCCTGATCAAAAATAATACCAAGATTTTTAACATTTGAGCTGGAGGACAGATTAATGCCATCTAAGGAGGGAGAAAGACTGAAAATGTTATTCCTAAGCTGTTCAGATCCAAAAACTAAAACTTCAGTCTTGTCTGTGTTCAACAGCAGAACATTTAGGGTCATCCAGGTTTTTATGTCTTTAAGACATGCTTGTAGTCTAAGTAGCTGATTGGATTCATTGGGTTTAATGGACAAATATAATTGTGTGTCATCAGCATAACAATGGAAATTAATCCCATGCTGTTTTGTAACATTACCTAATGGAAGCATGTACAACGTAAAGAGTATTTGTCTAAGCACTGAACCCTGAGGATCTCCATGACTAACTTTATTACATTCTCAGAGGCCATGAGAATATCATTAGTAACTTTCACCAGTGTAGATTCAGTGGTGCGATGAGCTCTAAACCCTGACTGAAACTCTTCAAACAGATTATTTATTTGCAGAAGATCACGTAACTGACCTGCAACTATTTTCTCTAGATTTTTTAGATGAATGTTAGATTAGATAAAGGTCTATAATTGGCTAGGATTCCTGAGTCAAGGTTATGTATCTTAAGTAAAGGTTTAATTAGAGCAATCTTAAAGCGCTGTGGCACGTAACCGTTTATTAGAGACAAATTAAGCAGATCCAAGATGTGGATCACATCTTGCAAGATGTGTCAGTGCTTAGATTACATGTTGGGAATGACTAAGCTACTACCACACTCACTACCCCTTTACTTTTCATTTTAAGTACATTTTAGTAAACTATTTGTTGACAAAATCATATTAGCTGTAGCAGCCATCTTGAATTTGTGTGGCTCAAGTGTAGATGAACTTCCATGACTTAATTTCTGAGAATGTATTTAATATTTAACCAGTGCTTCATGAAATATTTTTCTAATAGAGTTGACTTCAAAAGTTAATTGCAGAGTTTAAATAAAACTAGAGAAATGTAATTTCCTGCAAAAATGCAGCTGAATGCTTATTACTGAATGATTATTTGTAGAAAGCAGCTGAAGAAGCTGAAACCAGGCTGAAAACATCTAATCACTTGGTACTGTGAGTTGAATTTGAACAGCTGACATTTGCTGAAAGCAGGAAAGTAAAGAAAGAGCACATAAAGCTGAAACTGACTGAAAAGTAGCTAAAAAAGCTGATATCAGCAGAATAGAAGCTGAAAGGAGCATAAAAATGGTAAATTATCAAAAAGAAACACAAGTGGCTAAAACTAGGGGACAAAAGATTTTAAAAATTGGCAGAAAATACCTAAAAGTAGCTGAAGTCAGGTCATCTGGATGGTTTCTTTTTATTTGTTGAGACATTTTGACCTTTATCCAAAGGACTTCATCAGTCTGAGGAGTCACACACAGCACACTCATGGTGGTCCAACCAGTTTGCTGGTGATACGATGGTTTCTGGGCCCACCCTCTCCTCTGTCGACTCCTCTGAGGCAGCCATTTAAAAAAAAAGAAGCGACCGTCCAGTTGACCTGACTGAACTTTGTTGGATTTTCTACCTGGATTATTGAGCAAGAACTTTGATGATAGCTGAAGTTAGCAAGATGAAAACAGCAGAGAAAAGCTGAAAGGAGCATAAATAGTTGTAAAACCCAGTAAAAGCAGCTGAAGGAAGCTGAAAAAGGTGGAAAAGCTAAAATCAGCTACAAAAGGTTGTAAACAGTACAAATGGTTTGAAGGAGGTGCAGAGAGCTCCATTCATTTTTTTAAAGGAAAAACATGACAGAAAAAGCTAAATATTTCAAAAAGTAACAATTGCACCAATGCCAGAATGTCCTGAAGGAGCCGAACGTTTTGATACACGAGTTGTTGAAATACTAGAACAACTTAAATGATGAATAATGTACGGAAGAAAAGGGTTCTCTAGTGAGAACGATTTGTAAACATCCACACGAACATGTGCTGGGGCTTAATCTCACCTGCTGTCACACACACTGAGACAAACTGCTGTAAAACTGGCTCAGTCAAAGCTCACGGAGGCCATCTTGACTAACTCCAGAAGTCAAACAGGTGTAGAAGTACTTCGTATGATTGCTTTCTAAGAGTTTTATTTAAATTTGCCCCCCCACACACACAAGCATTTATTGCTCCAGCGTCCGAGCCTATCAGCTGGAATCTTCTCTCACGTGTATGTTTGATGGGAATTGGGTTAACGCAGCGGCCCTGTGGTTGGGAGGGGGAGGTCAGAGCGCGTCAGTTCTGAATAAGAACGTCACATGTTGCCCCCCCCTTGATGGGGCAGGGTGGGGGTGCAGGGACAACAGTTCTCCAGCTGAATTATAAAACGCTCAGACCCAGCACAGACTGGACAGGAAGCAGATCCTGAGCTGTCACCCAGTTTGCTTCTGTGTGAGCGGCTGCTGGTCTGGATTCATGTCATGGATCACCGTCACAAATATTCTGACTTTTTATTCCTGTTCTTACGGACGCTTTTATAATCTGCCAGAATATCTGTGGATTACCCAGCTTTCCGAGAGGATCAACTGTTCATTTTTCTCTTCTTTCTGCATAAACTCTGTGATCTGTTTGGGAAGCGGCGTGTCGGATCCCTTGAGTGAAGACCGGTGTCACATCTCGTCTCTGGCTCGGCCCGTAATAGAAACACGGATCGGTTTCTGCAGAGCGACACTTGTTGACTGACGCTGCAGGAACATATCTCGTTTCTCTACGTGTTTTTTTTTTTTTTTTTCCCTCCTGCTGTTTTGAGGAGTTTCTTCACTTTGGACTACATTTTGGGATCTGAAATGTTTCCTCTGTGCCCGTTGTGGCTCCTTCTCTCTGCTGCGCTCGTTGTGGCTGTGCAAACTGCCGGAGATCTCCAGAGCTTCAGCACGACTGCAGGCAGCGAGCCGCCGGGTATGTAGGGCGCCTTTAAATATCACGCAATAAAACCAAACCTTCAACATGTTCCTTCAACGAGGCAGGAGGTTTCTGTTAAAAGGGAGTTTTTCCTTTCCACTGTCGCCTGCAGGTTCTAGCTCAGGATGAGGAACCTGCTGTTTCGTCTACAGACAATTGTTTTTTTTTTTATATTAATTGGCTTTTTAAAAATATATTAATCTGACTGTTGCAGTTTGAATGAACTCAATATTTGAAATTATTTGTATTTTTTATCTGATTTGGACTGAACTGAGCATCATGTATGTAATAACTGTCTGCTGCTAGAGGCTAAAGGGCAATAATGTTGTTGCTTGATTCTACCTGATCCAAGATGGCTGCCACAGCTAACCAACCTTAGCAAACACAAAAAAATGGCTTTAACTCAGTTAATTTTACACTTACTCAGCTAAACTTTGGTGTGGTAGTGTTTCAGCATCCTGCTCAAAGGATACTGTAAACATTAATTGATTGCACAAGATCTGTTTTCAAAACTTTGAGGTACTGGAGTCTGTCGTCTGTTAGCAAAAGAGCAAATGAATCACTGGATGGATTTAAATTAAACTCTCAGAAAGTAATTATTACATGTATATCTACATCTGATTGACTTTTGGAGTCAATCCAATTTAAGATGGCCACCACAACTAATCAGGTTTAGTAAATATATGAGCCATCTGATCATTAGATGACTTCAGTTAAAACTTTGATATAAAATGTGATGAGCAATATGTTTCTTCAAGAAATGCTAGGCTTTAAATTTGATATGAATTAGATTATTATTATTATTATTATTATTGTATTTTGCCGTGAGATGATTTTAGATGTGAAATGGCACAATATAAATAAAAAAATCAAACTATTTATTTCTAACTGAGTAGGTGGTTCAGTTGGTAGAGCTGTTGCCTCTCAGTGAGAAGGTTGCTGGATCAAATCCCGACTGAGGGCCTTTCTGGGTGGAGTTTGCATGTTCTCTCCGTGCATGCGTGGGTTTTCTCCAGGTACTCCAGTTTCCTCCCACAGACCAAAAACATGCATGTTAGACTGATTGGTAACTCTAAATTGTCTCTAGGTGTGAGTGAGAAAGTGAATGATTGTTTGTCTCATTTGTGTCTGTGTCCCTGTGATGGACTGGAGACATGTCCAGGTTGTCCCCTGCACCAGTGATATGACCTGTGTAGTGAACTTGACCTGATGTCCAAACTGACCAGATGGACAGAAACTGTCATTTCATTGATCTGAATCCAGAAATACAGTTTGACCCATCCTGAGACTTTCTTTCTTGAATTAATCAAGTGGAAAAGACAATCCTCTATGATCATTACTATTTTACAAATGTTGATAATCAATGTGTCTTAGTTCAAACCATTTTAGATGTTGCAGTGAACTAATCAATTTTATTAACTGTGGAACAGTGTAATGATTTTTAATGCTTATGCAAAGTTAGAATTCATGTTAAAGCTGTTACAGAGTAATTATGCATTTTCTGATTTCTGTCTTTGAATGAGCAAGTGTGCGTTTTGCAAGGTCAGGAATCGAAGCAGACATGTGTTGGAACAACTGCCTTGTTTTTACATCTTCTCAGACGTCAACAGGGGGGTTTTGGCACCTGTTTCTAAAACTCGCCAAAACAAAACACTCTCTGTCTGTGAGAACAGTTTAATCTGTTCAATAACATTCTTGCTGTCTTCTGACTTTTAGTAACCCTCTTACATCACAAAACACACCCCTGTCTGGTCGGTACTGACCAATGGGAAGACTCCCAAATGAACCGGGAAAAGAGCTCTTAAAAATGCCGGTACTTCCTAGTTCTCACAGAGTTGAGTTGAGTTGAGTTGAGTGGAGATGAGTTCTGAGTCTGAACAGTTCAGTTCTGTGCGGAGAAGTTCAGTTCGGTGAAGCTTCTGAACAGTTCGGTTCTGCGCTGAGAAGTTGTTTGGGAGAACAGAAGTCCAGCATGATAAAGCTCTTCCGAGTTTCATGGGATTATAACATTTTCCACTGAGGTGAGCTTGTGTCGGACAGAATCTCGCCATTACTCCGGAGTATTCACAGCCATCCTACGGAGACGCTGAAAGGGTGCGTTAAACGGAATCTCGCCTGAGACATCTCCAGGTAAAAGAGTCGATTTCACCACCTAAGTGTACTGTAAGGAAGAAGCTGAAGAAAGCCCGGAGAGTGCCGTTCTGTTCAACACTCTCCCTCAAACACCATCTTTCACCCCCTTTAAACTTCATCTTTTCATCTTTAAATTCTTCTCTAAAGTAGAAATCCTTCCAGATAATTTAGAAATGTCTGTGTAAAGTGCTCATCCACCGCCGTGTGGGTAATTGAACATAATTGTACAGTTTTCATAAATGTCTGTGGTGAAGCAACGGAAAATCATGGCCGTATGGTTTTCCTGATTGATTATGTGTTATTTTCATATTTTGCCAAATTAATGTAAATGTTTGATGTTAAACTTTGATTCTGTAAATAAATGACCGCATTCATTTTGATGGGTCAAAGATAAATGACGTCTCACGTTTGCATTTCATTAAATTCAATGCACGTTTTATTCAGTCCAGAAAAATGAGGAATCCATGTTAATTGATGAATATATCTGAGCATCTGTTCATACTACACCTGAAAAGGAAGAAGCGGGTAAAAATAATGGACGGATGGAATTAAGCAGGTTCTTAAAATAGATTTGAAAATACGACTTGTTTTATTTGGGGACATTCCTTTCCTTATTACTGCATTCCTTACAGTCATCCTGCCTTAGATTGCAGAAGAGAAGTGATGAAAGATACTCCTCTGACCATCCGGTTGTTTTTATGTCCCTTCATGTGCAAAACGGTTAAACTTGAATCTCTTCAGGAGGAACATGAATACAAGTTAATTACTCATCATTTTAAAAGACAATATACTGAGTTGTTTTCTGCAAACTTGCAAAAACCATGATTAAAACTTTAAAAAATCTAATTTTAAACCAAGTTTTCAACCTTAAAGTGTATTATATTGGATTACTAGTCCCCACATGTACCAAGCAGATTATGCTCTCAGAACATGTGACAAACACAGATACAGTTAGTGTCTTTGGCACTGCACAGAAGTCTAACAGCACATCGATGAAACCTCGTCAGGGTTGAGAAATGGACATTTTATCAACAACGAGGGATCATTTGTTTTATGTAAATGTACTTTGCACGGGGCAGGATTAAGGAGGGCGTGGGCCCCCAGGCTAGTGTCATGTCAGGGGCCCTGTTGACAGACAACATGCAATACTGATTTTGTTCATTTTAACTTCCACAGTCACAGAACATCTGCTTTAAACTCTGATGTGATGTCTAAATTCTGAAGAACAAAACAAAAAAAACCAACAATAGACTTGTGAATTTATATCTGCTTAATCACATTAACTTTTTAAATTAGCCATAGCTGCTCAAACCACACATAAATCTGTACTACTTTTCTTTTTAAAGGCAAAATCAAAGTGCATTTTTTTCCATGACCCAAATAACTTTTTATGTGTTGTGGCAACGACAACGAAAGGGTCGATGCAGAACATCAGTGAGCTTCATAACGAACACTGCAGCAACTTACAAAGTCGTATGAACACTTTATTATAATGTCTCAAGACTGCACAAAGTAAAATCTGAGACAGAAACTGTTCATCTAACACCTGACAATGTGAAAAACAATAGTTTGATTGAAATTAAAAGGCTAAAGAAATGTTGTTGCATGTACCTTAGATGAAAATACAGAATAGAAAAGTAATAGAATTATTGACAAACCAATATGGCTCAAAAAGGTACAGCATAAAGTCATTTATTCAAACTAATTCATGCATCCCGTAGCTGTGGGAATAAGAATATAAAAAAATAACTGAATATATACTTCTAATTTATTTCCCTTCACCCTTTAAAAGATCAGCTCACATGCCATAAAATAAAATAATTTACTTCCACCGTGTGTATTCAGAAGTTTTCCCTCCAGTCACTCGCAGTGAGAAACAGTATCCATGTATTTACCCTCAAGTTGTTTTTCCCACTGTGGGCGGGGAGCAGCTCGTTTCTCTGGAGTTTGCTGAGGATGGATTTAACAGGCCGACCTTTGACCCCTCGGCACTTTGCTCCACGAAGCAGCCAAACTCTTCAGTCACAGGGTCAGTAATGAGCTGACTCATAGACTGACTGAGGACGAGATGCTGCACGTCATCATCCTCATGCGTTCCCATCAAATGCACAAGCCTGCAACACACTGACGGTAAAAAAAAATGATCACAACAGCTGATTCAGCCACGATGGCTCCAGAGTCCATGTAGCTCCTGGACATGCAGGTGAATGACTCACTGCTCACCTGGATCAGAGACTACCTCTCAGGTCGACCACAGTGTGTGAGGCTGCAGAACACCACCTCGGACACCATACTGAGCAGCACAGGAGCTCCTCGGGGGACGGTCCTCTCACTGTTTCTGTTCACCCTCTACACCTCGGACTTCAGGTACAACTCACAATCCTGACATCTGCAGAAGTTCTGGATGACTCTGTCATTGTGGGCTGCAGCACTGGTGACCAGGAAGCTGAATACAGAGGTGTGGACAGAACCTCCTGCAACTCTATGTTGGAAAAACTAAAGAGCTGCAGTTGGACTACAGGAAGAAGACTAGCCCCCCCCCCCCCCCCCCCAACCCCCCCATCAACATCAAGGCTACTAAGGTGGACACTGTGGACTGATACAAGTATCTGGGGGTCCACATAGACAATAAACTGGATTGGACAGCTAACACCAACACCCTCTTCAAGAAAGTCCAGAGTCGCCTTTTTCTTCTGAGGAGACTCAGGTTCTTTAACGTCTGCAGGACCATGCTGCAGATGTTTTACCACTCGGTGGTCTCTGCAGGACCCCGCTGCAGATGTTTTACCACTCGGTGGTCTCTGCAGGACCACGCTGCAGATATTTTACCACTCGATGGTCTCTGCAGGACCCAGCTGCAGATGTTTTACTACTCGGTAGTCTCTGCAGGACCCCGCTGCAGATGTTTTACCACTCGGTGGTCTCCAGCATCTTCTTCTACACTGTGGTGTGCTGGGGGAGCAGGGTGAAGAAAGCTGCTGCCAACAGACTTGATAAGCTCATCAAGAGAGCTGTCTCAGTTCTGGGAGTGGACCTGCAGTCTCTGACAGAGGTGTCTGAGCAGAGGATGCTGAGGAACCTGCTCCAGATCTTGAACAACACGTCACACCCCCTGCATGACACCCTGGACTCTTACTGCAGCACCTTCAGTCGTAGACTGAGACCACCGAGGTGCTCCACAGAACAACACAGGAAGTCCTTCCTCCCTGTGGATATCAAACGTTTCAACTCCTCCCACTTTCTGCACATAAGACAACAAAATTAATCCTGCACCACAATAAACACTTTGTTATATTCTCTGTTGTCTTGTGTGATTGCTTGTGTATATTCCTTTGTACTGAAACTCTGGCACAACAATTTCTTGCGGAATCAATAAAGTTCGATCTTATCTTATCTTATCTTATTTTATCTTATCTCAGTTGAGATCATTACTACCATGCACTCTTCTGAGTTGTATTCTAAGCATCCTGGATGTGACTGCAAATATTTCCTTGTTTCAGTACAAAACATCCTAAAGTTACTAATATTAAAATAAATATAGCAGCATGATAAAACTAATTCAAAAATGTACATTCTTTTTGAATACTTATTTAAAAAAAATAGATTAGCATGGCTTAAAGGGATAGTCTGTTGATTTTTGAAGTGACATTCTGTTGATAGATAGATAGATAGACAGACAGACAGACAGACAGACAGACAGACAGACAGACAGACAGACAGATAGATAGATAGATAGATAGATAGATAGATAGATAGATAGATAGATAGATAGATAGATAGATAGATAGATAAATAGATAGATAGATAGATAGATAGATAGATAGATTAGATAGATAGATAGATTAGATAGATAGATAGATAGATAGATAGACAGATAGATAGATTAGATAGATAGATAGATAGATTAGATAGATAGATAGATTAGATAGATAGATAGTTTGTGTATCTGTACACACATGTTTGAACCCATGAACAGATGAACTTTTGATGAACTCACAGAAAGCCATCAGTAGGTTTACACACGTAGAGGCCAAAATCTGCAAATGTAAAAAAATGTCTAAAGAGAACCTTGTTTGGAGTAAAGATTTCTAATTGTGTTATGAAAACAAACACATTTGTTCCAACAGTATCTTTCTGAGAGTGTAATGCTGTGCTTTATTACCGCCATGTAACAGTTAAGAAGTATAACTATCATGTAAACAACCACGGCTTTTAGTAAACAAACGGCAACAAATTAACCAATTTTAAAGATATTGAGGTCTAATTTGCCATACTAGTAGCTCAGTGTCATCCCCAACACATACAGTTCATGTTACATCTTTGTTTGAAACTTTGGTGGGCAATGTAGTGGGTGGCATGCATTGATGGATGTGCCATTTGTGTGCAGACCCATGTATGACTGTATATCCACCATGTATGAACGAGGCTGATCGCTACAGCCTGGAGGCCCTGCGGAGCATCCATCAGATGATGGACGACGACCAAGATGGTGGCATCGAGGTGGAAGAGAGCATGGAGGTACAAATCCTTTCCCGTCTTGTTTTCTTTGTGTTTCTTGCATAAAGGTTCTTGCAGGCAGAGTAAAGCAGTGCAACAACAGGTGTGCTGGCTGGAGGAGGGCTCCTTCAAGGATAGCAAATGGATAACTTTGCTTTGGGCTCAGTGACAAAATTGGTTTGCACTAAAAGAATACTGAAACTCCGATGACCTTTATGGTGAAGCTTAAGCGTATATATGTGCCGTTGTCACAAACATTGCTTTTTATTTAATCTTAATGTGCATTAAGCCACTTTATGTCTCCTGAACATCTCTAAAAATACTCATTTACTGCAGGGAAGCACATTTACTTACATAAACAATTTTAGAAAACGACACTTTTGGTAGTATTTTCTGTTGCACATAAATAAATCCAATAAAAAGTATCAGGAAGTACGTGGCACTGATGGTAAACCCTGAATTTGTTGCCTTTGAGAATGCAGTTCATAGAGACAGTATCCAGGGATTCAGGTTACTGTTGGTTCAGAGACATCAGAAGAGTAGACCGGGCCCATTAAAGTCCTGACATTCCATTAGTCATCACATGAAGCCCCTGTTTATGGCTGGGAACACATTCCATGACACCTCTAACACGCACAGCACACGATGAGTTTCATATGCAACATGCACCTACGATGATGTGTACAATTAAATAAACACAGTTGCAAAACAGAATGCTCAAATGGAAAATTCTGAACTAAGTTCTACACCCTAAAACAAACAAGATGAACCTGCATCAAACATCTGGACATGTGTCCGAATCTTAAAAAGTCATCCGTTCATTTGTAAGTCATTCTTCTGTCTCATGCTGCAGTTCATCATTGAAGACATGAAGCAGCAACAGACCCAAAAACACAGCAAGCTGCACAGAGAAGACCAGCACATCACAGTGGAGGAGCTCTGGAGGGGCTGGAAGTCCTCTGAAGGTAGGGTTTTTAACGTGACACGCAGTAATGCGTTTGTACAAAGGTGTTGACGTTTTACTTCATGGAACTTCTGCTTTCACTTTGTCAGTCCATAACTGGACTCAGGATGAAGTGTTGCGCTGGCTGAAGGAGTTTGTTGAGCTGCCCCAGTATGAGAGGAACTTTAAAGACTTTAAGGTCAATGGAAACATCCTCCCAAGGTGAGACGAACAGTGTGAACAAGCAATGACCAGGAAAGATGAACTCCGTTATTGTTTTGTTTCAGGCTCAAACTAAACTGGTTTCTTCTTACAGGATTGCCGCAAATGAACCATCTTTCCTGAGTGGTCATTTGAAAGTGTTGGACCAGAGAGACAAACAGAAGCTCAACATCAAAGCTTTGGATGTGGTGCTGTTTGGACCGCCTACACGTATGATCAGATATTTTCTACTTTTAACTTATTTCATTTAAACTTTTGATGTTTCTTGTTCTTCAGTGGCACCAAAGATGAATGGACGACAATGGTTTTGCTCCTCTCAGTGCACAAGTTTAGTATTAACCAAACATCTCCTTAATAAAACTCTCAGAACATAACCATTGGATGCATGCCCACAAGTGATTACTTGATCCTTATTTAACACAGCTGCCACAAGACAAACACAAAAACAGCTACAGCACAGCCACATTTACAGATACTGAGCTAAAGGTTGTGTGGTAGTAGCTGAAAGTCATCATTAACACATGCTCTGAGCATTAATGCTGTTTGCAACTCTTGCAATACTGCAAGAAATCGTGCATGATGCCATTTGGAGGATTTGACCAAAAAGTGTGTCACCTTATTCCTTGTCAGCGTTTGTTACTTTAAGAACTAGACTTTATTTTTTAAGTAGATTTTTTTATTCTTTGACCTTCAAATATTAAAAGAGCTTCCTTGTTAATTCTTCCAATGTCTATTCTCATTCCTTTCTGTTGCATCACAGGCCCCCCTCATAATTACATGAAGGACTTGCTGCTCATTGTGTCTGTGGTGATGGGAGTCGGAGGCTGCTGGTTCGCCCAAGTACAAAACAAAGCCAGCAAAGTTCACATTAACAAGATGATGAAAGATTTAGAGAGTCTGCAGAGAGCTGAGCAGAGCCTCATGGACCTGCAGGAACAGTAACTACTTCACTTTTATTCTAGTCTCATCTCTACTATAATTAATTGAAATGACTTTTCTTTGCGTTATTAAACTGAAAACTTGTTAATTTCCTCAGACTGGAGCAAGCCCAGGAAGAAAAACGCAACGTGGCGGTGGAGAAGCAGAGCCTGGAGGAGAAGATGAGGGATGAGATCATGGGGGCACAAGAGGAGGCTCATCGTCTGCACCAGCTGAGGCAAGGAGCGTTCACTGAGCTCAGCCGCCTACGATATGCAGAGGAGGAGCTGGAACAGGTAATTTACAGGTTCTGGAAGCTGTTTCACAAATGCTGTTTCACAGGAAAGATTTACTCATCTGTGCAAATAAGCACGAGTAGGCAAATCAAAACTAGAGCCTGAAGGAGTGTCCAGTTCTGCAGGTGGCACCCCAAACTTCAGCTGATCGAATAAATCCATCTTATTTTAATTTTCACCAAAATGTCTACCAGGAACAGAAAAATAAAATAAGAATTAGGGGGAGAGGTCACGTAGACGTTAGAGAGAGTGGGCCTGTGATCGGAGGGTCGCGAGTCAACTCCCCGGTTCAACTCCCCAGACTGACAACATTAAAATGTGGGTGGAAAAGGTGAAACACCCACACCTTCCTACATCTGCATTTGCCCCACTCTGGGCCCATGAGCAAGGCCCCTAACTCCCCCACCCCCCCAGCTGCTCTCTTGGACGACAGCCCACTGCTTCACATGTGTGCTCACATGTGCAATGGGAAAAATGCAGAGAATTAATTCCCCCTTTGGGGATTAATAGAGTACAAAAAAAAAAAAAAAAAAAACGCAGTTAAATGGGTTTAAATTTCAAACTCTTTTGCAACATAAGCTTTCAGTCATTTGTTTAACTACGTTATAAATATTTTTTGAAAACGAGGAGAAGCAGAAATTATAATGTCAATGAAAACAATATAAGTATAAAACATAACTTCGTGTGCTGGTGCATGATTCAATCAAGTTTGAAGTTTTAGGTTTTCACTATGTTTCCTCTAATCCATTAAAAATAACACATCTGAGCATTGTTTCTAATACATTTATTTTTCTGCTTCTACAAAGAGTTGGAATGAAAAATCTTATTTTTGCATCTTTTGCCGGTGTCCCCTAAGACCTCGGTGTAGCAGCTGTCACAGACACGAAATTCAAGGCATTTTTTCTTATAAATAATGTCATATATATATATATA